TGAGAGAGAGAGAGAGAGAGAGAGAGAGAGAGAGAATGTGTGTGTGTGTGTGTGTATGTGTGTGTGTGTGTGTGTGTGTGTGTGTGTGAGTGAGAGAGAGAGAGGAAGAGAGAGAGAGTAACTGAAAGCTACTGTAGTCGTGAGGGAGATAAAACGTCTTAACCAAAATTGTATCTCCAGTAAAAATAAATGAAATTTATTGTGTTGTTAAATCCACTCTTAACCTAACACTGACTCATTTTGAATGTCTCCCAAGTTCTGTTTTTTGACTCAAGGAGAACACTATATCTTCATCTGTCAATGTCACAGAAACATAATTTTACTAACAACCCCTTCGTTTACACTTTATCTATAAATGGAGGTCAATCTTCTTCAACTTTTCCTTGTATCAAGTTTCTTCTATCTCTTTTCTTTTTGGCATGTGGATTATGACAATATATGAAGAAATCGGGTCAAATTTGTACTAATGTAAAACCAGTTCCAGTATGAATTAGTCAAGAGATATCATGTTGACTTTTATCAAATCTTAAGAATTAATGCCATGGGAATTTAGGTCAAATTGAGAAGTTCTGAATCACAAATATAACTTGTTGCCAAGATGTGACATGATGGATCTTCGAGAGAGAGAGTGAGAGAGAGAGAGAGAGAGAGGGGGGAGAGAGGTGAACAAACATTTTCACATTTCTTTATTTAAAAGTTCTTTAATGTTTTTTTTTTTACCTTTTTTTTTTGACAGAGAGAGAGAGGGGATAAGAATTAAAATAATTTATTTTTATTTAGTTCATTCATGAAACAGGCATTTTTATCACAAGCAATTCAGATTTACATGTTTTATTATTAAGAGTATTTTTTTTTCTTAGTAAATTGTTTACATAAAAATATGAATTAGAATAAAGATGTGAAAAGGCAGGTGATGCAAAGTTGCTTTGGATCACTCAGCCTCTTTAAAAAAGGGAAAGCAAACTAAACATTTTAGTCATTTATTATTTATTTATTTCAATTAATCAACAATTGCAATACTGGCACATCTTGACAAGGTTTTCATTGACTTTGAATGAAGATATTTGTTAAATAGATCTATTGTACAGCAATAGCAATACAAACTCTTTTAGCATTGAAACTAATGCTGAATAATATATATTCTTATTTGCATTAAAATGTCCATGGTATAAATATGATGATGTCAAAGCACAACATTAAAATTAAACCCTAGGTAAAGAAGTTTCCATGTTTGGGTCAAATTTTTCTCTTCTCTCATTTCTGCCTTTTCCAAGAAAATCTCAATATGTCACCATGTTAGAAATGTTCCAGGATTACACACATCTGGCAAGGACATGAAAGACTATCTTGTCATTTGAAAGAGAAGATACAAACAGAAATGAATATACATATATGTATATTAACACATTTTAGGTGTAATTTCCAGATATAAAGAGACACTACTTTTAGATGTTTAAAAGTCAAGCCCCCCCCCCCCCCCCCAGCATTTTTACCACAACTTCCCTGAGTGTCATTTAAGCAACTGCTGCAATATGTACAATGTACCTTGCAAAGAAAGTTTTTGAAAGCGGCAATGGGCTAAAAGAAATATAAATTAATATTGTTTACTACAATTTTCATTGGCATTACTTTTAGCACTCCAAAATAAGTCTGTTATAACAAGGAAAACATTGTGTCATTTGCTGAGCTCCTGCTGAAGTGGAGACAGCCTTTTGTCTTTGTTACAGACTTGATGCACCTATATATACTGTCATTTACAAGAAAATTTAGGGATATAAATTATACCCAAAGTCATTTTGCTCTCATTCCAGCTCCTATGACAGTGTCTATAAGGGATTTCAAAAAGAGAGTTATAACAAAGAGAATACTGAACCTTTTCTGAAGTTCTCTTTAACTTGAAGAGAAGACCACATTGACTTTGTTACATTTTACACTGCAAGTCTTAAGATTTATAATTTTCATAGAATTTTAGACATAAACTTTACTCCAACTCGTTGTGCTCTCATTGTAGCTCCTAAGACGGTGTGTACAAGGCTTTTCACAAAGAATCTGCTATAACAAAGAAAATGATGGACCCTTTTCAGAACGGAGTCTTTGTAACAGTTTTTCGTCAGGACATGTAGATTTATACATTTTAATTTTTACTCCTCTTGCGTATTATTTCAGCTCCTATGGCAGTGTGTACAAAGCTCTTCACAAAGAATCGGGTCAAGTTCTGGCCATCAAGCAGGTGCCCGTGGACACTGACCTCCAGGAGATTATCAAGGAGATCTCTATTATGCAGCAGTGCGACAGCAGATACATTGTCAAGTATTATGGAAGTTACTTCAAAAATACAGATTTATGGGTGAGTAGAAATGCTGGGGCAATGAATTCCATGGTATAACATAGTCAGTATTATGGAAGTTACTTCAAAAATACAGATTTATGGGTGAGTAGAAATGCTAGGGCAATGAATTCCATGGTATAACATAGTCAAGTGTTATGGAAGTTACTTCAAAAATACAGATTTAGGGGTGAGTAGAAATGCTAGGGCAATGAATTCCATGGTATAACATTGTCAAGTATTATGGAAGTTACTTCAAAAATACAGATTTATGGGTGAGTAGAATTGCTGGGGCAATGAATTCCATGGTATAACATTGTCAAGTATTACGAAGTTACTCCAAAAATACAGATTTATGGGTGAGAAGAATTGCTGGGGCAATGAATTTCTAGGAAGAAAATCCATTTCAAGGTAACTTATAGGTCAAATAACTTGGCTTGTTTCATTGTATATTTTGGATTTGGAGATAAGTACGAAACATTGACTGTAGTTAAGCACAAGACAGTGGTTTATTACTACATTAGTAAATTAATAAAAGATAATGATAGACATTGCCTTATAAGTAACTTGATAAAGAATAACGATTAAGGTTTCATCATGCTTTATTTTCAGATTGTTATGGAGTATTGTGGTGCTGGCTCAGTTTCAGACATAATGCGACTCAGGAACAAAACAGTAAGTGAAACATTATTGACACCACTCTTTTTCAGTCCTAATCTTTTCCATTTCTATACATGTAGATTGATGGAACTAGGGATCAATTTGTTGCTGAACTGTTTAATGTTTCTGAAAGCAAAAGACAATCGCAATTTTATATTATACTTTGTTTGGAGTTTGTTCCAATTAACAGAAAACAATCTCAGTTTTATATCACACCCCTCATATTCCTTCCAGTTAACAGAAGACGAGATAAGTTTTATATTGTGCCATGCCTTGAAAGGCTTAGAATACCTCCACCAGCGGCGGAAAATCCACAGAGATATCAAAGCGGGGAATATATTACTGAATACAGAAGGGCACGCTAAGCTGGCTGATTTTGGTGTGGCAGGACAGTTAACAGTGAGTCACGCTCAACCACTGGATTTGATTGACTCACTCAACCTCTGGGTTTGGTTGATTCACACTCAACCACTGGGTTTGGTTGACTCACACTCAACCACTAGGTTTGGTTGACTCACACTGAACCACTGGGTGTGGTTGAGTCACAACATCCAGTTCACAACATCTTTAACTTAAACCTATCTTCCTTATCATTCAACCTGATTTGGAGAATTTCAAGTTATCAATTCATGAGGAGTTGTGGAGTTGCTGTGTGCTCTGTTTTATGATTATTATTTACTTAATTATGTATTTGTTGTTGACAAAAAGGATTGTTTCTACAGAGAATTAACATTGTGTTAGTGATATCAGTGCATTGTGTCAATAGCAGTGGGTCTTATAAGATATTTACCAGACATGATACTTCTAACTATAGGATCTGGGAAATTCTGGTACTTAATAAGATTGTTGCAGTTGATAGGATGATTTGAAAAGCCAACAAATAGCTAAAGAAAGTGTTTATCAAATTTCATCATTTATTGTTTGTTTCAGGACACAATGGCAAAGCGCAATACAGTAATTGGGACTCCATACTGGATGGCCCCAGAAGTGATACAGGAAATAGGCTACGATTGTGTGGCTGATATTTGGAGTTTAGGTAATTATTTATATGCAGACAAAGTATTGTTGTAGTGTTTTCTTTCCTGTTTGGTATCTGTATATTTGCAAGCTTTGCTGGTCTGTTTCACAAAAAAAGTGTGAAAGCCAGTTATTGTTCTTTATAAGTTCTTTGGCCATTATTGCCAGCTGACTTTGCTAAATTGGCTATAAGATTTAAACCTTTCTAAGCTTAGTCATTGGAGAGAAGATATTTTGAAAAAGCAGTGTATGTTTATGTCATTTAGAAGGTCTTGTTGAGTGACTAAAAAATGATACACATTCAAGCTTGAGTTATGAGCTCAAAAAGGCAATTTGAGCAAATCTTAGAAAAAAACATTTTTGTGAGTAACCAAAAAAAAAAATTAATACTGTGTTTTAGGATAATCATAAAAAGTTACCAGACTAAGAATGTTATCACATATATTTGGACTGTTGGGACAAAAATATTCCTGACTGAAATCACCATGAGAAATTCTCCCTTTTTTGATACCAGTGGCTGTAAATCGGGGATATGGCTAATTGCCTACATGTTGAAAGGAATTGAACATGTATGACCAATGCTTTTGGCCATCTGTCAACAGTTTTAATCAGCACATTAGAATTTGTGTAAAGTTGGCTCAATTAGCTGGTCACAGCTGGTTCAGATGAGGAGCATGTGGTTTTTATAGCATTGAACTATCACCTTCTGTTGATGTTTTCTGGGAAATAAAGCCTCATGTCACGTTTTCAGTTTATGTCACAATGGGAAATCTTGTAATGACAAAAGCAAATTAACTTTATTTATTTATTTATTAATTGCTTGTTTATTTATTTTATTTGTTAACTTCATTTATTTATAAACTTTGTTAAAAACTTGATATGTTTATTTTATTTGCCAACAAATTAGCTGTTTTGTTTCTTTTGGTCGTTATCCATTGCTGATGTGGTTAAGTGTGTGTGCCCGAGAATTGAAGACTTTTCCATTGTTTTGTTAATAATTATTTTTTATAATATATTTTAGGGATCACTGCTTTAGAAATGGCAGAAGGGAAACCCCCATATGGTGATATTCATCCAATGAGAGTGAGTAAAATGTGTTTCTGCTGAACACTTGATTGGTGATTTAAAAGTAGCATCTGTTATGAAATATATCAAAAGAACTTCACCAAAGTATAAAATTTGATTAGCTTGAAAATTGTTAATCCATTTTATTGTATTGTTTAGCTATGACATTTATCTAATTCATATTAATTGTTTACAGGCCATATTTATGATCCCTACAAAGCCCCCGCCGTCCTTTAGGAACCCAGACAAATGGTCGCAAGAGTTCATTGACTTTGTGTCCCAGTGCTTGGTGAAAAGCCCTGAGGAGAGGGCCACCGCAGTGCAATTACTACAGGTCAGACACACCTAACACAATTACTACAGATCAGACACACCTAACACAATTACTACAGGTCAGACACACCTAACACAATTACTACAGGTCAGACACACCTAACACAATTACTACAGATCAGACACACCTAACACAATTACTACAGGTCAGGCAAACCTACCACAATTACTACAGGTCATGCACACCTACCACAATTACTACAGGTCAGACACACCTAACACAATCATAATGATCATGAATCGGATGTGTAGTCTAATTTGACCCACGAGTAGTAGTCTAAAGAGATGAGGTATTGTGTATATTTTATTAGAAGGAAAAGTTGGCTTATGTAATACACACACACACACACACACACACACACACACACACACACACACGATTGCATGCATGCATGCACACACATACATTCACTCACACAATCACACACACACACGGGTACTGATACCAAACACACACACACTTGTTCCTCTCTCTCCCTCTCTCTCTCTCTCTCTCTCTCTCTCCCTCTCTCTATCTCTTGCTTTCTGTTCCAGTTGCTTTTATTAGGCTATTTATCTTTAAAAAAATTGCAAAATTTCAATGTTTTTTTTCAGCATGAGTTCATAACCAGAACCAAAGGGTCTTCCATTCTGATGAAGATGATTCAGGAGGCTAAGGAGATCCAGGAAGCCAAGGCAATGATGAATGAAAATGATATTGATAATGACTCAGTAAGTAGGTTTACACAGAAACAGTCAGGTGAAACTGTCTGGAATGTCAGATTAGTTTTGTACAAAGTTTTTGAAATGTAGATTTAGAACTTTGGGGTCATTTTGGAGATAAGCTGAAAAATAGGATCAGGGATAATGAGATTGCTTCATAGTCAACAAAGTATATGTTGAAAACTAAGAATTTTTTTTATATATATACCAGAAATCAAGATATTTGGGCACTGTATTTATGTTTTCTTCAGCACCTCCCTTACAAATTTTGTCCAATGTTTTAGTAAATAGTTATAAAAATGAAATTTTTTTTATTAAAGAAATAACTTATAGTAGACATTTTGTCATACATAGTAGTAGATAATCTGAAAAATGATATTTTCTAATTAGGAAATAACTTATAGTAGACAGTGTCATTTATTCTGTTTCATCTCTCTGTCTAGGATGAAGAAGAGGAAGAGGGAAGTGGAACCATGGTACAGAGAGACAGCCCCTCTGGTACCCTGATTGCTAAAGATTCAGATACAGGTACTAATAGTCTCCATCCAGCCCTCCCTGATAGCCCCCTCACTCTTTTAGTCTCTTTCCCCCCCCCATTTCTCTCTCTCTCTCTCTCTCTCTCTCTCT